CTTCCTCAGCTAGTGTTGCAAAAGTCTCACCCTTGAGTTAGCATCCTTGTTCTCATCCGATCAATCTGTTTTTGCAAGTTCTTTTAGACCCTCCATCCTTCATTGCTTTGTGAAGGTGAGCGCGCGCCTTCAGACAGCGCCGTTCGGCCATGATGTGGCATTTCCTGGGATGACCTTCCTTAACGCAGCATGTTGCCAGGACAAACCTTTAAGGAACAAAGGGGATCACTTCCACTAATATTTGCAACCTTCCTTTCTGTTGCGGAAATGGCAGCTTATAATTTCTGAGCTGGAAGTCGATTCCCCTTTTACATCGGGTGGGTGGGTGGGTTGAATGCTGTAACCTCAGGGCAATATTTTTCAAAGGAGTGAAAGACCAGGCCCAGGTGCACCTCAGAATATTAGTTTAAAAGGAGGTTTCTGTGATTTGGTGCCTTCAAGGATCTCTTCACATGCAGGCCATGGTGGTTGAGGATCATAGAAGTTCTAGTCTGGGCATCCAGAGTACCAGATTTAAAGTAGGTAGTGCACAAAAACTGCCCTATGGGTACACCTGTCTTAATAAAATAGGAAATTGCTACCTTCCATGGTCAGAAGTAAAGTTGCACTCCCCAGGCTGATTTTGCTATTGTTTACTCTGCCAGCTACCCTCCAGAATCTTTTTGTGATGCTGCACAAGCCGGTCCTTACAACAGTTGCCTGTTGTGCTTTCCCATCCCCACTCTCCCAGGGCAAAATACCCAAAATCTTAAAAGCACATAGTCTCCTCCCACGTGCAGAACTAACCTCAGACCAGTTCAGAGTTATATTTCAGACAAAGAGCCATCTGGGGTCTCCCCAAGTGAGCTCACGGCCTTTTTTTCAAAGGCCACGTGCTGAGAATCTGGGACAGAGAACCCGAGGGTGATGGGGAGATGCTTCATCGCACCAGACAGATCTTCCTATCCCTGCAAAGAACTTGGTGTGCTGCTCAGAAGCTACAGCTAGCCAAATTTTCACAAGAGATCAGATTTCCCCCCCCCATCTCCAAGTGCTCCCAATGTTCCTAAAAACTCCAGGGAGGGGTGAGCATTAATGTGGGCAGATGGTAGAAATGTGATGCAATGCTGGGTACTCAGAAGAAGGAAATGACTGTGCAGAATGATTGAGCCAGAATCATTTGAAGAAGTATGTCTTTGCTGTTGCATCTTCATCTTGATATTACCTATTAAATAAAATAGCATGGGAATTGTTGCCAATTAAAGTGCTATGCAAGCTTTCTGGACTCATCTTGGGCTGCATTAATATGGGGTATTTTTTTGGCAAATGTGAGTTCACATTTGAGGAAGTCTTCCTCCACCAGGCATGCTTTATCTCCACCCACCTCTTTTTCCCAGGCTGGTACCCCACCCTCATACGTTAGGTGAATTTTGGTAGACAAATAATAGAGATTTTCATAGTAATAGTGCATTATTATTAATCAAGGGTTCTGGGAGTCCCAATTTAAGTTAACATAAGTTCAGATGCATGCTGCAGCTTTTTAACAGAACACTGGGGTTAGTACTTCACTGGTGAATCAATGATAAATATACTCAAAAGAAGAAGAAAAGCACAGTTGCCTGCTTCAGATGTGTTCAAAACCTGAGTTTTCTGTGGTGCAGCAGATTGCTGTGAAAACTAGTGCGTAGGATGGAAATAAGATGTAATAGCAACTGGCTGCCAGTATAGCAGCCGGGCGCAGCAAAGCTTTAGATACATGATGCAGCCATCATTCAGGGCCCCCACATTTAGCCTTAAGATTGTTCCCTTCTGGTTGATAGCATCTGTTCCATTTGGCTTTCCGAGTAGTGGTTTTTATTTTTATTATTTTTTTAAAGAAAAAATAGTACAAATAGTTAAAAGACTGGTCACTTCAAATCTGCCGGGGGCTATGGGCATGATACTTAAGAAAACCCATGCAATTTCAAATTAGGAACCACCCATTTTCTTTGTGATCATATGGGATTGGTATGTTAACAAACACGTTTTATAGCATTGCAGCACTTAGTGTTATTCCTTATCTAATGTAGCATTTCGGCAATAACTCATAAAGTATGATTTTGAAGAGGGTCACATGATTCCTGCTTTAACAGTTCACATATTTTGGGCTGTGTCTCTCACCTCAAGGCTTGTATTGTGGCCTCAGGGAGACTAAATCAACTTTCTGCAACTGGGTACCCTCTCTGCCCCTCCCCCATTAAAAAGCAGGGTGCAGATGCTTGAATGACCACCTGTAACAGTTTGTTAACTTGCAGCAGCAACTGTGGATATCTCTTACCTGTTCATATTTCCAAAATGGATTGGGCCCTGTTAAAAAGCACACTTATATTGCAGGGAAGGAAAAAATGATAAATTTGTACGTTGCTCGCTCCTCAGATTTGTGCAAAACTGACAAAACAATTTTAAGAATTGCAAGCATCCAGGCTCCTGAATTGCAATGAGAAATTGACCTGTATTTTTCCCACTAAAGCTTTGGGGTATTCGTATAAATCTTTCTTCTCAAATTAAATCAAAGTGAGCCTAAATAAAACCTGCTTCTTTAAAAAAAAAACTGTAAGCTCTAGCATATTTCTTTCCCAACCCCCCAGAGATGAATTGATTTGACCTCAGGGAATAGGAAACAGCTAACATCAGTGACTTTCTGTAAATAGTTGGAACGAGCAGAAAAATATTTTAGGCTGCTGCAGAATTTTTGCAGAAAGCTGCCTCCTTTAGGAATTCAGCTGCATGGGGTTTCCTGGTATTGAATGCAGGAAGGACCCCCCACATGCTTCTCAGCTGAATTAAAAAAGGTTTCCCATTGTGGTACTTAACTGAAAGCAAGCTGCATCTTCCATGACTTTAAAGAACTAGTTTTGACTCAGGCCCCTGGGGAGCCTGGGGCGCTCTCTTTAAAGCCATGCAGCCATGCGCACGGGGAAAGTTGCACGTAGTACAGCAGGGCGGAGCATCTTACCCGGCTCCAGAGCTGAAAGCAAGAGTCAGTCTAAAATCCTGGAATAACAGAGTGACCTGAAGGGCAAGAGCAGATTTTCACGGCAGCTTGAGGAACCCTATTTAAAACTTGAGAAATTACGATTTAAGTGATGCCTGTTCTTTTAGATGCTTAGGCTCTTCCCAAAGTGAGATTTGGTGGTTCCTTTGTTACGTTAGGAAATGCAATTCTTAAAAACGTGTCATTTAAAAGTTTTATTTTTCTCATTTTGTTCTTTTAATTGCAAGGGTGGTGTCTTGACTGTGAACCCAAAATGTTGTTTTATGCTTGAGCGTGTTTTGCCTGTGAGGTGTATAGGTTAGTCTTAACTAAGCTCAAATCACTTTTATTCCTGAACATTACACATTCATTATTAGATTTATATCCTGCTTTTATTTTGTACAGTGTGATATGGCGGTTACTTGAGATTTCAATATGTAGTTTGACTCTTAACGATCTTACCTAGCATAAAATTCTCCCAGAGTTTTAACAATAGCCACTCATGAATTTTTTGAGTCCCCCATCCTACTGTTCTTTAGCATTCATAGCTATTGATGGCCACACACCAATGGGAATCTTAAGAGTTGTCAGCATTATATCTGCATGGCCCTGGGAAGATGATTCATGTACATTTAAAAGCTGCCTCTGAAGTGGTTCAGTTTGCATTTTTGCCCTAATTTTTGCCCTGCATTCAGCAAAAAGGTCTCTGAAGCCAGACCCACGTTTTGCACCATCCCTAGTCCTGTTTGGGATTGGATGGTGGAAATGGATTGGTGCAGCAAAGGTGCATGGACTGGTACATGCAATTGCAGCTCAGAGGAGTAGCACATTTATGGGTTATGCTAAATTTGCCCTGCCTCCTTCCTGAGCAAGAACGGAAGAAGTTAAGCAATAGGAAACAAGTGCCTGATGAATTGGGGAGGCCTCTGTTACTCCTTGAGATGTCATGAAATGTTTTATCCTTGAATTACAGAACTGCTGTTACGAGGACAAAACGGGACGCCTAGAATCCCAAAAGGAGATATTCAGAGCTCAGACTAGTCTTGTTTTAGGTTAAAAACACCTCCCCAATGCTGAAAGTGACTTCTCTCTTTCACCCTCCAAGTGGAGTATTTCTGAGAATTCTCTGCACGGAACACTTAATAAAACATTTGGTGTACCTGCTCCTGAATGTTACTGAGTACTGTAACTTTGTGTTCTTGCTTTTAGATATCAACTGTCAGCAACCATGTCTACCAGTGACGCTTTCATCCAGACCCAGCAGCTGCACGCTGCCATGGCAGACACGTTTTTGGAACACATGTGCCGACTGGACATTGATTCCCCACCAGTCACGGCAAGAAATACTGGCATTATTTGCACCATCGGTAAGTTAGGGGTGAGCCCCCAAATGGAGGTTGGCTTGGGGACACCCCTGTGTGTTAGTTCAATTCATATATGGAACATCTCTCTAGCTAAGAGGCTTCCTATTAAAATCTTTTTCCTGCGATATCTGCAAAGCGATCCTTTGACATGCTGAATGTAACTATTTAACAGGCTTGGAAGGGACCTTGGAGGTCTTCTAGTCCAACCTCCTGCACAAGCAGGAGTCCCTATACCAGCGATGGCGAGCCCAAAAACTGCCTCCGCCCCGCCTGCCCGCAGGACCACTCACTGCCTTCAGGGCCCGCCACAGATCACCCAGGCAGCCAGCAGCGCCATGGTGGCCACGCCTTCTGCCCGCGCCCCGCAGCATCAACTGTGCAGGATGGGGCATGAGGGCAGAGTCTTGTCTACACTGCCTGGCTGCCATGTCCTTGGCTGCGCTGCTCCGTGTGGGCCACGCTTGGGGGTGACTCTCCTTCAGGGGGGCTACTGGTGAGGAGGGGGTCATGGGGGGAGGCGAGGCTGGGACAATGGCATGTGTGCCCACAGAGACGGCTCTGAATGGCGCCTCTGGCATACGTGCCAGAGGTTTGCCACCACTGCCCTATACCATTTTAAACCATGTAATTTATTGAAATAAGAAAATCAGATACATGTCAAAGTAAAGAAAAGCGAGTTGCAAACTTGTAGAGGAAGAGTAAGGTCTTAGCTTGATAAGGAGCTATGGATATAGAGATTTTAGCAATGGATCTCTGCTCATAAAGTTTTATCTGTGTCTCTTAGGTCCGGCTTCTCGGTCAGTAGAAATGCTGAAAGAAATGATTAAATCTGGAATGAACGTGGCCCGTCTCAACTTCTCTCACGGAACTCATGAGGTACAAGAAAATCAGACGAAAATCCAGGGCAGGAATTGATGGGAATGGAAATAAAACCACTTTCTGACATAGAAGTGAAGCAGCAGTAATAAATTAGGGATTCTTATTCAATAAGCACTGAATTCAGTAACACAAACTAATCTCAGCCTCCAGATTTAGGGCTATAATTTCAGGTGTCCTGCTCGATGAAACGATGTCCAGCTTCATAAAATAATTCTAATAAGCGTGGATGCTACAGTTCTTTGCCACGTATGCATGGTGCACTGCTGTCCCTTTTCTGGTAAAATGAGATTGGATTATTTCTTAAGGCTAAGGACTCCTGCTGCCTTCTACTTGGTTGACTTAAATGGTCTTCCCTCTGGAGGTCAACGTGGATTGAATTACTTCTAGTTTCAAATGGCAGCGGAGCTCAGATGCCTGGGTTAAACAAAACAGAATTGCGAAAACGGAATGTGAAATGAGCAGGGCCTGAAAAAAGATCACACAATAAAGTCTTGGCCATCGTAAAATAGAGAGCACTGGCCAGCAAGCTCTGTACAACTTCTGGACACATAGAACAAATATCAGAAGATTAAAAAACAATTCTCCATCTTCCATCTTATTCCCTTAAGCCGGGACTGTTCAGTGCTGAAAGACAGTTTAGCTATCATTCCCGTTACTAGATCCTGCTGCATGCCTTCCACAAGATCTTGAAACACTTGATTTGGTTAGCTCTAAGTATCCCTGCAGATTTGAGGTGGTCAAACCAAATCTTTACTTCCCTGTGATGTTTGAAAGCTAATTGAGATTTTACTGAGTGCCAGGCAGGATATGTTAACTGGACGAAGTGATAACATTTTAAAGGATCCAAGTAATTCCTGGAATGAAAGGTTTCCAACTTGATAGGGTAGCGCATCTGTTTCCAAAATAAATCAGATCTGCCTTAAGGGTCAGCTCTGTGGCCTTTGAAAAGCATTTCACTTTAAGGTCACAAGAATTGTGGTACTTTGCAGGAGAAGAGGACAATCCCACTTCTATAAATAAAGCAGCCTTCTCAGCAGTACAACTTCTGGTTAGGAGATACTTCCCCCCCCCGCTCCTGCCCCCATCTATATCTTTTCTTAAAGGCCACCAGGCTGCTGTTCACTTCCAAAAGGTCAAGCTACCGATTGAAAAACCTTATTAGTGGAGTTTCAGTTTAGTGCACAAAATGCTATGCCTTTTTCATCTACCTTTCTTAAAAACAGGCTTCCTCCCCCTCTTAAAGCTTGATCTTAAATTAATAGATTCTCAAGTATCATACATACTTGTAGATGAACCTTTACTGACTTTAGCAGAGTCTTGGTGCTCTAGTAGCGAAGTGAAATAAGTCTCTAGCTCAACGTTTCTGTGGGATCTTGGCTTGATTTTTAACCCTGAGTTATAATTAGTGAGTTCAGAGATAGGCATAAGCCAATTGTCCCATCAAAAAAAAACCCTAGATGTGGATTTAATGGATGATGGTTAGCAAATTGAGGCAGCAAGATTAAACTAAGCAAACAGTTACTCTTATTTCATAAGGTTTGCACGTTCCTCTCTTTTAGTATCATGCAGGAACAATCAAGAATGTACGAGAAGCTACCGAAAGCTTTGCTTCTGATCTGATTTCCTACAGACCTGTCGCTGTTGCCCTGGATACTAAGGGGCCCGAGATTCGAACTGGGCTCATCAAGGGGGTAAGTGGGTTTCTGTCTTTGCGGTGACGCGGTTCTTGCAGGTTGGACTACTTCTGTTTATTCTACTTTGCCACCTTCTGACAAGCAAAGTTGCTAACTTCACAACCACAGTGATTCACCTGTAGCAAGAAAGGCCATAAAATGGACAAAACTCACTTAATAACTGCTTTGCTTAGCAACAGAAAGATTGGGCTCAACTATGCTCGTAAGTTGAGCACTGCCTAGACCAGGGGTAGGCAACTTTGGCTCTTTTATGACTCGTGGACTTCAACTCCCAGAATTCCTGATCCAGCATGGCTCAGCTTGGAAACCTCTCCCTTTCCCCTCAGCATGGCTGGCTCAGGAATTCTGGGAGTTGAAGTCCACGAGTCATAAAAGAGCCAAGGTTGCCTACCCTTGGCTAGACTGACTTTCTCTCCCCAGTGATTAAGAATATAGCAGTGGATCACTGAGCAGTTAAATAGTAGAACAGGGGTCCCCAATCCCCGGTCCGTGGACCAGTACCGGGCTGCAGCATGCCAGCAACCGGTCCGCGCACACAAGCAAAGCCCCATCTATGGGATGTAGACAGTACACAAAACCACGCACTCTCCGGTCCACGGAAAAATCTCTCTCCACAGAACCGGTCCCTGGTGCCCAAAAGGTTGGGGACCTTTGTAGTAGAGTTTCAGGTTAATCTAAAGCAGAGAGACCTGCAGAAAGAGGGGAAAGTTACCTGTGATGGCGCCCTGCACCTTCTGGAGATGTTGCTTTTGGATGGTCTTGGATGTGGGGCACCAGAATCCCTGTGATTTCAACTTGATTTCTGCCTGCAGAGTGGTACAGCAGAAGTGGAGCTTAAGAAGGGTGCAACTCTGAAATTGACTCTCGACAACGCTTTTATGGAGAAGTGCGATGAGAATGTATTGTGGGTGGACTACAAAAATATCACCAAGGTTGTGGAACTCGGCAGCAAAATCTACGTGGACGATGGGCTTATTTCCCTTAAAGTGAAAGAGAAAGGTAAGTTCTGCCCAGAGTCCTTTGAAATGAGATGAGTGGCAAATAAATCTAATAAACGAATTCCAAATAATGCACCCAAAGTCTTAAATAGAAATATCTCATTGGACCCACCGTTCGGCCGGTCCGGTGAGGGCCTTACAAACTTTACAAAGTCACAGCATCGCCATTTAAGTCACTTGCAAGGATGCAACCTGGTTTGATGATCCTCTCAACTCAAAGGCTTATTGAAAAATGTTTCCCCCCCTTTTTTTATGACCCTGTCATCCCTTTTATGAGGTGGGTGTCGGGCAACTGAATGGAGTTGAGAGTTTGCTGGCCGGATGCCCTTCCTGACGCCTATGCGGAGTGCGGAGTTCACGGCAGATACTTTCTCTTTGTGCCCTGGTAAAGAAACATCTGTCCTTGCCTAGCATCAAACTCTCAGCTTCCTGAGTGGGAGGCGAGCGTCTTCACCTCCAGGCCATCGTGCCGGTCACTTATTAAAAAAACATTCTCTATACCATAATCTATATCGGGGTCCCCAACCTCCGGTCCATGCACCCAGTAGCTGGTTGCAGCATGCCAGCAAGAGGTCCGCAGAAACAAGCAAAGCCCCATCCGCGGGATGCAAGCAGCACACAAAACCACGTCTCCCCTCCGGTCCACGGAAAAACCTCTCCACGGAACCGGTCCCTGGTGCCCAAAAGGTTGAGGACCTCTGATCTATATAACAGCCAATTTGACCGAAGTTCTTTTGCAAAGATGTCAAGAGCCTACAAGAGTTCAAGGTGACCATGTTGATCCCAAAGGTGCTTTTCCAAAAGGCAGCCGGACTTTCTTAAGTTCCGAAGAAGCTTCTTGGATGAGAAGTGAAACATTTTCAAGGGGGAACCCCTCCCCCAAGAAAGTCCAGTTGCCTTTTGGGGGGAGGGAAACATCTTTGGGACAACCATGACCTGGACAATTGAGCATCTCCACAGACATTGACCCTGTTGATGTTTCAAATCCTTGGCAGGTGCTGACTTTATCATAACCGAAATTGAGAATGGAGGAACGTTGGGCAGCAAAAAAGGGGTCAACTTACCTGGGGCTGCTGTAGACCTGCCTGCTGTTTCCGAGAAGGACATCCAGGACCTCAAGTTTGGTGTCGAGCAGGACGTGGACATGGTGTTCGCCTCCTTCATCCGTAAAGCGGCCGACGTTCACGCTGTCAGGAAGGTGCTTGGAGAAAAGGGGAAGAACATCAAGATCATCAGCAAGATCGAAAACCACGAGGGGGTTCGCAGGTGAGGGGCTGGTTTAAGGAGTCATACCTGAGGCTTATTTGATCCAGGCCTTGCCGGATAACTTTATTCGGGTTTTCCTTTTGGCTTCTGGTTTAATTACCTGAAATGCTCAGCAGACTTGATTTCCCCCCCCCTCCCGGTTGTATACTATTTAACGCATATAAAGGTAGTCCTCGAGTTATGATCACAATTGAGGCCAACCTTCCTGTTGTTAAATGAGGCATGTTGTTAAATGAGCTTTGCCCCATTTTACAGCATTAATCATTACAGTGATGAATATTTATATGTTACTTATATGTAAGGGTGTAGGTCTATACATATGTTGTACAGATTATGTTTAAATGTGTGTTATGTATGTGTACACTTTGAGAGCACGCAACTAAATTTCATTTTTAATGTGTGCCATTGTGCCCACAGTAAAGAATGACAAAGGTTGCCTGCCTGCCCGCCTCCCTCTCTCCCTACCTACCTACCTCTATCTGTCTGTCTATCTATCTTTATCATCTATATATCAATCTATATCAATGTATATCATCTATCATCTATATATCTATATATATCAATCTATATCTGTCTATATCAATCTATATCATCTCTATATATATACATCAATCTATCTCTATCTAACTATCTCTATCATCTATCTTTTATATATCAACCTATATCATCTATCATCTATATATATATACATCAATCTATATCAATCTATATCTGTCTATATATCATCTATATATATATCAATTATATCTATCTCCATCTATCCATCCATCCATCCATCCATCCATCCATCCATCCATCCATCCATCTATCTATCTATCTATCTATCTATCTATCTATCTATCTATCTATCTATCTATCTATCTATCTATCTATCTATCTATCTATCTATCTATCTATCTATCTATCTATCTATCTAATCTGTTTCTGCTCACAGTTGTTAAGCAAATCACTGCAGTTGTTAACCTGAATGTGAAGGGAATCTGGCTCCCCCCCCGACTTTGCTTGTCAGAAGGTCGCCAAAGGGGATCACATGACCCCGGGATGCTGCGACCGTCGCAAATATGCACCAGTTGCCAAGCCTTTGAATTTTGACCCTGGGGATGCGGCAACAGTCATAACTGAAAGTCACTTTTTTCAGTGCCATTGTAACTTTGAACTCACTGAACGAACTGTTGTAAGTCGAGGTCTAACTGTAGTTAACAGGACTTGCCAGTCTGCCCCCCCCACCATGGGTGTCCTTGGCTTCTCTCCCCGCATCGCTGCCTGCCTTTCCCTCAGCTCATAATCCTCCCCTCTTTCCTTTTCAGATTTGATGAAATTATGGAAGCCAGTGACGGCATCATGGTAGCCCGGGGCGATCTTGGTATTGAGATTCCAGCCGAAAAAGTCTTCCTTGCCCAGAAAATGATGATTGGCCGATGCAACCGAGCCGGCAAGCCTATTATCTGTGCTACTCAGGTATCTGAAGACTTTGAGCAAAGCCACTTAAGGGCTCTGCGGCCCTGGAGAGCTGTCTTGCTCGGCAGTTCTTACTATGGCATCTTGTGCCCGTATCGCTAAGGGAAATAAAAGAGGATAGAGGTTAGTGGGGTGCCTGAAATAGCCCCCCCAAAAAAAGTTACTATGGAAGCTTGTCTGGAACCATTTTTTTAAACAAGATTTTATTGAGTTTATATACGTAAGGAAAAAATAGGAACAATACAGGTATGGTAGAGGGAAGGGGTGGGGGGAAAGGGGAAGGGAGTGAAGAATTTAGGGTAAAATAAGGATAGGTACAATCACATATTTTAACAAACAAACTACTGTCTGGATCATAATAATGAGTAAATATCATATTCAACCATTTTACGATAGGCTTAACTATAACATATTAAAAACAATTAATAAACAAATATGTTCATCTATTACATAAACACTACTAATCATTTTTGGAACCATTTTTAAAGTGTCCTACAGGTTAGCCTAGAATTAAGGATTTGAACTTGGCTGAGTGTCCTTAGATTTTTTTACATTGTCCTTTACAGTGGTTAGTTCAAAAGTTCTTGCAGAGAAAGACACTTCGTTACAGCAACGTCTTGGAACTTGGAAGAAAATGGATTCCTATTCTGTTTAATTGGACTGGCGGGGAAGTGTTGCTGATGAGGCAGATCGTTAGGACACCCCAAAGCCAGAGGTTAATTCAGGAATTCAAACACACACACACACACACCTCCCAGAAGCTGTGACTCTGCTTCAAAGTGTGGTAAAAATAAACAAGTGATTGCAACTGAAGCAATATGCACTAAGAGCTTTAACACAATTAAACGATTGGCATAAGCCCTCACTTACAATATGGTGATTTGCTCTGAAGACAGTTTGAATCAGCTCAGGGCTCTGAGATAGACGATAAATGTTGAGGTTGCATTTCTTTAGCAGAACTTTAGAGGTAGTTTGAAGCTAGATAGGTTCCCCTGGATGGGGAACTACTTCTATTAAAGGGCTAATTTTTTTGGCCTTGAGGAGGACAGTTGATGCCTTCCTTTGGCCCCTGCAGCTTTGTTAGATAGAACTAGAATTGTTCTTGTTGCAAGTTGTGTCCGACCCATCGCGACCCCATGGACAACGTTCCTCCAGGCCTTCCTGTCCTCTACCATCTTCTGGAGTCCATTTAAGTTCACGCCTACTGCTTCAGTGACTCCATCCAGCCACCTCATTCTCTGTCGTCCCCTTCTTCTCTTGCCCTCCATCTTTTCCGGCACGGTAGTTAGATGCCGCCATAAGATGTGGGCGCTCCATTGCTGGAGGTTTTTCAGAAGCGATTGGACAATCATTTGGTCTGGAATAATATTGGATTTCCCTCTCTGAGCAGGGGGTTGGACTAGAAGACCTCCAAGGTCCCTTCCAACTCTCTTGTTCTGTTAACATGATGAGAAGTTTCACCTTTCTTTGCAAGATCATTTTAATAGGGCAACTTTGCAGTGGAGCAAGTAACTTTTGTTTACCTGCCAGATAATAATAATAGTAGTAGTAATAGTAGTAGTAATAATAATAATTAAAAACAACAACTTGGAAGGGATCTTGGAGGTCATCTAGTCCAACCCCCTGCTCAGGCAGGAAACCCTATACCATCTCAGACAAATGGCTGTCCAGTCTATTCTTAAAAACTTCCAGTGTTGGAAGTTTTTAAGAACTTCTGGAGGCAGGTTGTTCCACTGGTTAATTGTTCTAATTGTCAGGAAGTTTCTCCTTAGTTCTAGGTTGCTTCTCTCCTTGGCTAGTTTCCACCCATTGCTTCTTGTCCTGCCTTCAGGGGCTTTGGAGAACAGCTTGACTCCCTTTTCTTTGGGGCAGCCCCTGAGATACTGGAACACTGCTGTCATGTCCCCCCTTCGCCCTTCTCTTCATTAAACTAGACATTCCCAATTCCAGCAACCCCTCCTTATATGTTCTAGCCTCCAGTCCCCTGATCATCTTGGTTGCTCTTCTCTGTACTCTTCCTAGATGTTGGAGAGCATGATCAAGAAGCCCCGCCCAACACGTGCGGAAGGAAGCGACGTAGCCAATGCTGTCCTGGATGGAGCCGACTGTATCATGCTGTCCGGAGAAACTGCCAAAGGAGACTATCCCCTGGAGGCTGTCCAGATGCAGCACCTTGTAAGCTTGCCCTTGCAACACTGGCTCTCCCTCCCAGTTGCCCCTTCCAACCAAACCTTCCCCAGGCTAGTAGCTAGCAGAATGAGTTATATCCAGCAGTGGCTGGTCTTCCCCCTGGCCTGTCCCACCCAGCTTAAATGTCTTCCAGATAATGTGAAAGTTGATGTGTAGCATATCTGGAGAAGACAACAGCTTTCTTATGGGCACGCAGGTATAACTGGACTGGGGATCTAGTAGATTTGCAAAGCTTGAGACCCTTTCACCTGTCTTTCGGGTTGCCTAAGCCAGTGGTGGCGAACCTATCGCACACATGCCAGAGGCGGCACTCAGAGCCCTCTCTGTGGGCCCGCGCGCCATGCCCCGGAGATGGCAACCGCCCCTCTTCAACCAGCCACCTGCTAACTCACTGAGGTCCCACGTGGCCGGATGCATCCCAGCACCCATGCGCTCGCTGGCCTCTGTGTGCAGGGGCTGATGGTGTCAGGCAGCAGCTGCCCGGCCCCTGCCTCATCTTGCCCTGTGACAATAGCACCCCCGCCCTGCCTCGCCTCTCCCCACAGGACGAGCCTCCTGCCCACCGTCCCACCTGCCAGAGACCCCCTGGATCTCCCCCAACCTTGCCCGGCCCCCACAGGTATCCCTCCCCACGAGCAACATTGAGGTGATCATACCTACCTTGGCCACTCCCACCCAATCTGCCATGACCACCACAGCCATGCTCACCCAGCGGGTCACGACCACCAGGCACCCGGCGATAAATAAGTGGGTTTTGGGTTGCAGTTTGGGCACTCGGTCTCTAAAAGGTTCGCCATCACTGGGCTAAGCCGTCCAGATCCCTCATGTTCAGTTTTGAGCCTTTTTTGTGTGGCATCCCTGTTGGAATAAGAAGAGAATAGCCTTGGGTCTCTTGCATGTTTAACTTCCATTGTTTAATTATCTGGGCTTTAAAAGTAACTTGGCTTCTTTATGTTGCCTGGGGGGGCAGGAAATCCCCAGCATGGAAATACACGGGTCCGAATCCCAAACTCACTTCTCTCTCGGCCCTAGAACTTCCTGGTTAACTGGGCAGGGATGGGGGGGAGAGGGTGGGACTGGGTGGTCCCTTTGATTTTGGTTTTGCTTGAAGTATTCCTGCCCTTGGGATAGTATCTTAATTTACAAAGTGCATGACTGACCTCATAAACTGCCAAGAGAACGTCTCTGATCTGCTTTGGGATTTTGTAGTTTTTCCATTGACCAACTTAGCACCAAATACCAAAATTAAAACACTGATTGCGTTGGCTGTTTGCTGTGGATTACAACAGCCTGATAACCTACTAGTGTCAGCTGCAGTGTCAGGTTAGTTAGCTTCCTCAAAAGAGCTCTCCTCCTGTACGAGAAGGATACTAACGCTACACGCTACCTCTTGGCTTGGACCGAATTCCTCTGATAGCGTCACATCCATCATCACTCCAAAGGAAAATGATCCCCAAGGCCAAAAGCATGGCTGCTGTCATACTAATCCTCTAAAATCTTCGTTGGAATGTACGTTCCCATCTGCTTTCAAATCATTTAGGACCATAGGCTAAGTGAAATTTAGGGAGCAAATACAGAAAGGGCAGTTCTCCCAAAGTACTGGAACACAGGAAGATTGAGTCAATCCTCCGAAATAGTTCGGTGAAGACATTTCTGGCACCACCAGAAACCTGCAGAAGCAGAAGAGTTGACCTGCTTTCCCCGTAGCATTCAGAGATCAAAGTTAACATTCAACCTTCCTGTTCATTTCTATTTTCATTTGAGAAATACACACAAAGATCCTAAGAGCCCTCAACACTTGTTGGGGTGTGTTAAACTTAACTGACTTTGAAAAGATTTAGAAGCAGTGTCCTGTTTGCCATAAGTATCTCAGGAGAATTGAGTGCCCGCAGAACGCTCTTCCCGATGCCTTCATTTTCAATATGTAAACATTCAGAAACCCTCAAATTATAATATTTTGAAATAAGGGGGGGAAGAACAGCTTGATTTGGGGACTTGAAGGCTATCGTAACCCTTAGGCTTCCAGGGGTTATTAAAAGCATTTTTGAATTGTAATGAGAACATGCTTTTCCTAGGATCACAAGTCTGAAATAAAGAGGAATTTTGTGTTTATGGGGGCGCCTTCCCTCCTATTAGCCTCCATCTGTAGTCTGGAACCAGACACGCATTCATGGCCTCATCCTTGAGAACAGATCTGCTGCTGTAACAGATTCCCAGAAGAGTATTTCAAGGTTGCAATTAAATACAGCTTCTAAAATGCATCTCTGCATCACTGTGCCTTCTGCTAAGACTATCTGTATAATGGTGGGTTCTGGCTTTATATCATCTCCATCTTTGTAAAAATCACATAATCTTGATCCTTGGAGGGCTAAGGTACAGTAAAAAGCGTAATTTCCAAAATTGGGTTATGTTGCTTTCCCTAATGTGTCATGTTGCAAATAATTCTTATCGACTCTTATCTTAACTGCCTCCTTATAATCATCTGGAATGGGTAGAGCTTTGCATGCTTTAAAAACACAAGCCAAGTCTCCACTTTTGGCTGGGAAGATCACATATCAGCTAGTTCCTGAAATGGGACACACCAATTCAATACATCTTGGTTGAAAATTCATTGTCTTGGGACTTTACTGTTATTTTCAAGGAAGCTCTCACGAGCACATAAGCATGGAATTGACATGCCATTTGAACTCAAGGCAAAACAGTTAACGGTACTTGAATCCTGCACTGGGTAACTTACAGGAGAATATCTTGAGAGTTTGGGCAAATTCTTACCCAGCAGTTGGGCAGATTAAGTGGAATTTCCACAGCCAAATGAGAGACTTGGTTTCCTGCTAAAAATTAGGGTTGGTGCAGCAACAGAATCTATATTTAAATAATCCCATTCAGTGCCACGTTAATGCTGGAGCTTTGTAATCGGAGCTTAGCACGGATGCCCTGAAATTTAGTTAAAATTTCATTGGGTGGATTTGGGCAACTCACCTCTTCTTCAACTTGACCTGACCGATATCCCACTCTTGAGTACTGATTGTGGCTTTGGTGGTGGTTCTAATTTGGGAAGCTGGATGCTGCCTCCACCCTCCTTGTCGTCGTCACGTGCATGTCAAATACGCCATTAACTCTCTCTGCCTATTAACGTGATCATATTACTCGATATATCTCTTTCCTTCTTTCTGTGTTGCTCTTCCCTTCCCTTCCCTTCCCTCCCTCTCACTCTGGCCTACAGATAGCTCGCGAGGCCGAGGCCGCAGTCTTTCACCGTCAGCTGTTTGAAGAACTTTACCGTCACACTGCTGGCAACCACAACCCTTCCGAAGCCATGGCTGTAGGCGCTGTGCAGGCCTCTTTTAAGTGCCTAGCTCCAGCTCTGATAGTTTTGACAGACACCGGCAGGTAGGGCTCAGACGTAGCCAGCGTAAGCAAGTAAGCTTGGACTGGAGGATTTGTTACTGGTAGGTAGAGGTGCTCTAGGGCAAAAAAAACCCAACAAGCTTCCAGGTGCTGATCCATGCCAATAGATTTCTCCCACAGCACTCTTAAAACTGTAAAAAGTGTCAGCCTGTCTCCATCTGTCTAACCAAGCTGGATTTGAGGTAGGTCAAAGCAGATTCAGAGAGGTTCGCAGTTGTGCATGGAGGAATGGATGCACGGGTCACTGGCAGACTGGCGTGGGGTGATGTGGGCGCATCTTGCACCAGGTGAGGCCGGGCAGTGGACGCAGACCAAGGGAACCGAGACTCGCCTGGTCTTGTTGAGGATGACCGACTCAGCTGGGCTTGATCCCCTACCTTGGTTGCCTCCACGCTGGTTCTCTCTGCTCGGCCCACCCGCCGTTCCCACCTTCACTCTTGCGATGCCTGACGTGACCGCCGTCACCCGAACGCCTGTTGCTCTTGTAGATTGCTCGCGAAGCAGAGGCAGCCATCTTTCACAGGCAATTGTTTGAAGAGCTCCGCCGGCTGGCCCCCCTGAACCGAGACCCTACCGAAGCCGCCGCTGTGGGTGCCGTAGAAGCCTCCTTCAAGTGCTGCAGCGGGGCCATTATTGTGCTCACCAAGTCTGGAAGGTAGGAGGCGGAAGGTGCTGGCAGAAGTCGCGAGGACTCTCTCAGATGGCCCGATAGCAGACGCGCCCTGCTTCTCTCCGCTCTTTTCTCTCCCTCTCAAGCACAGGTTTTCAGTCTCTGGATGGAAGCGCTTGCTAGCGTAGCCTCAAGACTGCGTCTTCCCAGGCCAGGAGCTCTGCTTGCTTAAGCCAGTGGTCCTCAAGCTTCACAAGCACCACTCCGAACTGAATAAACTCTGTAGAGGGCTGGACCAGAAAATAAATACACCGCTTTTCATAATTAAGTTTGTACATCACAGGCTTGCAGACCCGTGTTTCTCAACGTGGGGACAGCTTTTAAGATGTGTGGACTTCAACTCCCAGAATTCATGCTGGCTGGGGAATTCTGGGAGTTGAAGTCCACACATCTTAAAAGCTGTCAAAATTGAGAAACCACAATAACAGCGAAGCAGCATCTTGCTGCGGGCTTGTGCAAACAAAAGGAGAAGCGAAGCCCAGTGGGAATTTTCATGGGGCTCTCTACTTTGACTGGGCAGGTCTTAGAAGCTTTTTTTAAAAAAGAGGGCACTTCCCAGTGCATAAACCTCCAGCAAGTTTTAGAACAGAGGTCCCCAACCTTTTGGTCACCAGGGACCGGTTCCATGGAGAAAGGTTTTTCCACGGACCGGAGAGTGCGTGGTTTTGTGTGCTGCCTGCATCCTGCGGATGGGGCTGTGCTTGTTTGTGTGGACCGGTTGGTGGCATGCCGTGGCCCGATACCTGTCCACGGACTGGGGGTTGGGGACCCCTGTTTTAGAAGACCTGCTTTAGAGCCAAGGTGGTGCAGTGGTTGGAATGCAGTACTGCAGCTACTTCTGCTGATTGCTGTCTGCCAGCAGTTCGAGTCTCACCGGCTTAAAGTTGACTCAGCCTTCCATCCTTCTGAGGTCAGTAAAATGAGGACCCAGATTGTTGGGGATTGTGAAGCGGTACATAAGTCTAAGTCCTAGTGAGTGCTATTTAGTGGAAAGGTTGTGGGGAGGTTAGTTATTGAGTGGGCAATGGCCACAGTTCAACAGCTGTGCAACACACACATTGAAATTTTGATCTCAACTCTTAATCAGCACACAGTTTGCACATTAAAGGGGGGGTGAGTTTGCTTGTGATCCAGTGTATGATGGGACCCAGACCTTCATGCTAAATCCTAATGTTTATTTGAACATAGTGTGTTACAAGAACACATCAATGGCTTTGTTATGCCAGGTTTAGCATGCCACGCAACTGGCTGCAGCCCTGCAGTTTGTTTATATCTCTGTTGAAACTGGGCACTGAATTTATTTTCTGCAGATCAGACCAAGGATGGCTGCACTATTATTATTTACAGCTAGAATTGATGAAGAGTTCTAAATTACTCATTCTCTGAAACAAGAACTATCTGAAAAAAATATATATATTTGCAGCTGCGGAGTGCAGTTTTGGGGGAAATATCAGAAAAGAAGCAACTGAAATGAACTATCCATTATATTGGCACCTGCCTAGAGCACCCTTTGAAATTAGAACATACTTCCTGCTAAACCTTTCTTACTGTTTTCTCATAAAGGGTTCCTATCTACCATTTACTTGGGAGTTCTGAAATACTGTGTTTTGCAAATATAATTTCGTTCTGGATTGTATTCTCCTAATCCTATTTCTGTAAATGCTTTGAATCTCTTAGTCGATAGCAAATTGCCTCATGGCAAATACTTAAATGCTTGATGTTGAGAAAAAAACAAGGAACTGGAAAGAAAAACCAACCATGTTCCATTTTGGGCAGATATTTTATTGAATGTGCTAATTCTGTAGATCGGTTTCCTCCTGGGAACTAATATTTTTAAATAATGCTAGAAGCTGTTGAAACCATGATGTGTAGGTATTTTTCCATCCTTTTGGGTTCCTTGTTTTAAAACCAAACTGGACTTGTAGAATTGGGGGGAGTTCCAAGTCAGCTGGCAGCGATGAAGATAACTAAGTCTCCCAAATCTTTTCCAGATCTGCCCACCTAGTGTCCAGATACCGACCACGGGCCCCCATTATTGCTGTGACACGTAACGCTCAGGCCGCCCGCCAGGCCCACCTTTACCGTGGCATTTTCCCAGTTATGTGCAAGGAGGCAACCCTGGATGCCTGGGCTGAGGACGTTGATCTCCGCGTCAATTTGGGAATGAATGTTGGTAAGAAGTTATTTATGGGTCTGGATTTCCTTGCTATAAGGTTAGCACGGAAGCTGAAGTGATCTACTGCTGTGGCAGTGCATTTTCCAGAAACTGGTGCCATTGGACACTGTACACCACCATAGGGGCGTGCTCCAATATTCAGAATGATGTGCCCAGACTTGTGGGTGTTTCAGATTTAGCCTTCCTATCTTCTAAGACAGGAGTAGGCAACCTTGGCTCTTTTATGACTTGTGGACTTCAACTCCCAGAATTCCTGAGCCAGCCATGCTGAGGAGAAAGGGAGAGGTTTCCAAGCTGAGCCATGCTGGCTCAGGAATTCTGGGAGTTGAAGTCCATGAGTCATAAAAGACGCAAGGTTGCCTACCCCTATTCTAAGACATGGGTTTCTAAACTTGGCAACTTTTAAGATTTGTGGACTTCAACTCCCAGAATTCCCCAGCCACTTCTAAGAGGTTTAGAGTAGATGGTCCACCATAGGTAGTCCTCAACAGCAGTAATTGAGCCCAAAATTACACTGATAAGTTGCCGTTGTAAGTCGGGGCATAACATAAACCAGATTTTGCCCGACGAGCGGATTTTTTTTTTTTGGTAGTAAACAAAAAAAGTAATGGAAACTGGCAAAAAAGCCTTTGTAAATGTGTAGTCACATGACTGGGTCACCACAAAACGGCCGTAAAGTTGGCCAGGCAATGAGATCACGTGACTACAGAGGGAACGTGTGGCCATCATAACTCTGAAAATGGATTTTAAGTAGCTCTGCGGAGAACCGAGGCCATTTCATTAAGACTGTCATTAAGCAGTCGGTCATAAGTCAAGGACTACCTGGGGATTCCACATTACCAGTCCTTCCTTTCTCACATTTTCTGTTTTGGTCCCTTTCCAGGCAAAGCTCGTGGATTCTTCAAGTCAGGGGATCTGGTCATCGTGCTGACTGGCTGGCGCCCTGGATCCGGTTACACCAACACCATGCGTGTAGTGCCTGTCCCGTAAAACGGATCTCGGCAACAACCACCCCCTCCTCTCCTCGTCTCGCCACCTGTCCCTCTCTCGCATTAGACCAGCAGCTGCTTGCAATCTTGTTCTTGTCTGTAGAACGGATAGTGACTGCCCTAAGCCATCAAGCGCAGTAATGGGGGCGGGGGAGGGAAAAAAGAGACTTCAGTTATTTAGTAATACTTGAAATAGTTTGGTAAGTGGAACCTCTCCCCGTTTCTTCTTTGCCCTGGGCTATCCGGCCTTATTTGTTAGGAACCAGTATGATCCAGCAGCCGGGGATCGCCCAGTTTCTCCTCTAGAGCTATCTGCTCCGCAGAGAAACTAGGAATATCTTGGCTTATTTAGTACAGCATTTTAGGCGAGGCTTGGTGTCATACGTGTCCTGAATCCTACCTCCCCAGCCTCTCTCCTTTCTGTAAGTCTTGTGTGTTGTCATCACTCTGCCAAAAACACTCCACTCGCCAGCTCTGCTACACCTTAGCTTGCTCAGTCTTGCAGGGCCTCTCCAGTTCTTGCTGCGTGATACACAAAAGAGTGCTTGTTCCATCGTAAGCCATGATGTGCATCACTTGACCAGACCGACACACACTCCAGTAGGGGTTGACCCGAACTGCCTCTAATGCCCCAAGGAAGTTTTAGAGAGCAAATCTTAAGTTTCCTGTTCCTCCTTGCCAGTAGACCTGAGGGATATCAGATTATATATATATTTTTCACAGTGGGTTGGTTCAGGAATAGATAGCTCAGGTTTTGACAGCATAGGAAGATTTGGAGGAAGAAAAAAAAACATTTTTTTTCTCACGAAACTTAACACAGGTGAGCCAGGCCACCGAAATTATTCCCATCCCTGCACTCCACCCAATCAAAGCTACCCAGGGTTGCTTGTGCTGCTGTTGTTGAGTTGTCTTGTGTTCAAGTTGAGCCATACCTCCTGACAGTGCACTCTGTAACTCTATATACATTACCTGCTGTTAAAAGAGATGTATCGGATCCTCAGAAGCCACTTGTACATCAATAAAGCAGAGTTCAACCCATCCTTTCCTGTTTGAAGTTTACTAACCCACAGCTGGGTTGCTGTGCTGCATGAGAAATGAATACGGGAGGGGCTGGACCTCCTTTTTGCAATAATGGTAGAAATTGAGCCCAGTGTCTTTTTCCTTTCACACCTCCAATAACAATAGATACTTGGGGGGGGGGGAAGTTGGGATGGAAAACGCAACTTTTATGTGCAATCCTGTAAAATAAGCCTCTTATTTTCAAGGAACCACGTAGTTCCCAGTAAACTCTGCTGCATTATTGTTTCGCATGTATAGTTTAACTTTGGGTTTTTTTGCTCATAACAATGGAAGATGATAAAGCTATTAGGAATTCCCGTTATTTCATCTTAAGTTTATACATTTTGCCAAAATACATAGCTATCTTCTTGTGCCATATCCGTTATCGGATGTTGGCGATCCTGTTTTTATCAGCAGCTGCACGAAAAAGTGCTGCTGAGTTTTGTCCAAACCAGTCCCTTAGATTTTGAAGCCATGAAGCCTGGACCTCGTTTGCCTTCCATCTTTCCCTGGAGGATTAAATGGAATATGCCGTATTTTTCTGGGTGTCGCATCACATGTCTGAAATATTCTAATTTTCGTTTTTTAATTGTTTTGATGGTTTCCCTTGGCTTTCCCAGGCGGCTTATCACCTCCTCATTTCTGATCTTGTCAACCCAGCTTCTACGTAACAGCCGCCTGTAAATCCACATTTCAAATGCTTCTAGTCTCTTCAGGTGGCCTTCTGTCAGAGACCAACTCTCTACTCCATAGAGCAGGATAGCACAAATATAGCATCTGACAAGCCTGATTTTTCAGTCTTAGGCATAGCTATAGAGATGAAAATAGTTGAACTTAATGTTGTAGAAATAGAGATGGGTATGCTTAACCAACTAGCTTACTGAAAGATAAGATATACAGCAGACCCAGAAACTCCCCAAGTTTTGAGAGTTACAAAATCATATTCAGCAGTGAACAGCCTCCAGCAGGCGTCCCCAGATGCTATCTGGAACTGGTTTTTTTCAACTTTTTAAAAGTTGTGTGGACTTCAACTTTCATCAGAATTCCCCAGCCAGCGCCGCAAAGCAAACCTCAGCCAAAGATCTGGCCCTGGACCCATCTGATTCCACTTGTGACACACCCAGTAAAGGACACCTAGGGGAAAAAAAATCCCAATTCTTGACAGAAAAGGCGGCAGGAACGCCAGAGAACAGCTGTCCTCTAGGGATGTCCCTGCACAGTAGGACTTTCTCCAGGGATCTCTTTAATGAGGCTGTTCCTGCTTTGTGGCTTCCAGTGGAAGCCAACAATCTCTCTTGTAAAGGCGCAAATCATCTCCCTTGGCCCTGAAGGTGTTGGTGGAGCAAAGGAGTTGTGTGACTTGTCTGCAGGCAACTGCTTTGGACCAAGGCCCATTTGCGGGTACCCGTAGCCAACTGCCATGCACCCCTTAATTTTTAAAAACTCCCTGCCTTCTTCCTTTCACCTCAAATGACCTTCCAAGCAAAGCCATAGCTTACACCAACCCTTTGTTTGAAAACCACCTATGGCAGAAGCTGCAGTTTTGCAAGGCAACCTGCCCATTATTTGATTTTTTTTTTTACAAAATTAAAAAAGGAGGGACAAGAATTTGTGGATTTATATTAGGGTTCCAACGAAGCAGCTTCGCTTCTGCTTAAGAAGGAATTATTTACTATCTGCTGCGTAGGGCATCCTAGCTCAGGAATTATCTATGTACTGAAATGCAACAAGAGCACAACTGGGATCAGAAATTCCATAGTTAAGGAAGGCAATTAAGTGAGCTGTGCCAGTTTTATGACCTTTTTCTTTTTGCCGTGTTGGTTAAGCGGATCACTAGTTATTAAAGTGAATCAGGCAGTCATTATGCAAATCTATCGACTTGGTGGCCAGCTGGGCCACCAAATGACTCCAGAATGCTGCAATTATTATAAATATGCTGCCCTTTGCCATGGGCCTCAGTTAGGATCCTGGGACCCTGGGGCTTTGCAATGGTTGTAAATGTGAGGACTGTGCCGCTGTAACTTTAAAAGGTTGCTAGGCTAATCATGGTAAATTATTATGTATGTAAATATGTAAATTGCACTACCTGTATCTAGAAGGCTGGAGGGTTTCACAGCCCAGCAGGATCCCAGGCTACACCGTTTATTATTTCAAGGCTGCCCAGTGGCAATCTTCCCCAAAGTTTTCTTCCTGCTGCTTGCCTTCATTCAGTGTTTCTCAACCTTGACAATTTTAAGGTATGTGAACTTCAACTCCCAGAATTCCACAGCCAGCATTGCTGGCTGTGGAATTCTGGGAGTTGAAGTCCACATGCCTTAAAATTGTCAAGGTTGAGAAACACTGCTTTGTGGGTGCTTCATCCCTGGAGGTTTTTAAGAAGAGACTGGACAGCCACTTGTCTGAAAAGGCGTAGGGTCTCCTGCTTGAGCAGGGGGTTGGACTAGATGACCTCCAAGGGTCCCTTCCAGCTCTACTCTGATTCTGATTCCGTTCGCCCTCGCCAAAGCTATTTCAGCGCCAGAAGCGGGTTTACCCAGCGAGCGTTTGATTGACTTCCTTCCCAGGATAGACTCCCCAAAAGCGTCCACATTACAAGGAAATGCAAAGATTTCACAATAAGCGGGAACATCCGGGAAGCCTCTCAGCCGGCGCGCAGGTCCGGGAAGGAGGGATGGAGCCTCTCGTCTCGCCGGGAAGGACGGAGCATCTACGAACAGGAGGCTGCCGCAGGCTTGCGCGCTCACACAAGCCTGCACGGAGGCAGCCGCGCCCGGGAGCTGCACCCGAGCTGACCCAGCCAGGCGCTTCTGATCCCGGCGAGCCCAGACTGGGGAAAGCCAGCTGCGAGAGCGCCCCGGGGCTCCGCGTGCCAGATGAGCGCCAGCGCACTTGAGCCGAGCGCGTGTCAAGCCGCGGGACACGTAACCCGCGACAAGAGTGTCGTGGGAATGCAGCCTCGGGTAGTCTTTCAATTTTTTGGGGGGGAGGGGTTTTTTTTGCGGAGCCTTTCAGAGCCAATTCTGCCCCTCTCCCATTGCCGGGGGCAGAAATCCCTGGCTGGGTCTTAGGAGCGAGGGATCCTGCACGCGGAGGAAGGGAGCAACCGCCCGGCGTTCAGCTAGGTTTACTTCGGCAATCCGAGTTGTGACCTTTTGCACGCTGGTCGGGGCGTTGCATTGCAGCCCCTGCCGCAGCGGGGACTCTCAGCCCGAAAAGGAGCCGCTCAGCCAGCTCCAGCCTCCGGGGAGCCACCCGGTCCTCGGCAGGCAGCGGCCCCTTTAAGAGCGAAGGAGCTTTTTTCCCCTCCTCCTCCTCCTCCTCCTCTCCCAGGCCGGCTCGCCCCCTTTCTTGCTGGTGGGCGCGGCCTTGCAGGGACGGTGCTGGAAGGAGCCAATCGCGGCGCGAGGGGGTCGGGACCGCCGCCGCTCATAGGCTGCCGAGGGGGGCGGAGCCTGAGCCGGGCGATCGCGAGCCGCCGGGAGTGACGGCGCGCCGCGGGAGGGGAGGGAGGGGGCAGAGGCGATCGCGCGCCGCCGGGCAGGTATGCGAGTCGCCTCGTCCCCGTGTCGCCCGCTTCGTGGGAATGGGGCGGTATGCGCGGCGGTGACTCGCGAGCCGGGAAAAGAGCTCCGGGGTTCAGCCGCGCCTCGGGATGGCGGGTTGGAGGGTCCTTATCCTGCTGCTGCCCCGAGGAAGCCGCGGAGCTGAGGGAACCGCCGCCGCCGCCGCCTTTGTATGTACGTCGGAAGGGGCTGATTCGGGCAAACGACCTCCTTGCAGAAGCTCTGCCGGGTGCCTGGCTTTGTGCTGTCGTCGGAACCCCGGGGGTGGGGGGGGTGGGAGGTAGACGCGTGTCGGGCAGGGAAGGGAAGGGCTTCCCGTCTCGTGGGAAAGGAAAGGAGTGCGGGTTACTCCGAGGAAGACAGGCTCCTTTTCTCTTGCGGGCGTCTTCGCGCGGACTCGGAGGGGGTTAGGAGAAGTGGGTCGTTTGAGGCCGGCCCTGGCCCGGAGGCTGCGAGCGCAAAGGCGGAGCAGGCGAGGAAAGGAGGTGTGGCGGGAAGAGGAAAGAGGGAGCCCCGCGCTGGTCCTCGGGTCGCCTTCCAGCAAAGCCTTGCATTGCATTTCCCACCCGCCCTTCCAGCCATTCCTGGGCGAGCGGCATCCAGACAACCGCGCCTGCAACTCTTGCACCAATTCCCTGCTTAATCCTGGGGTGGCCCTGCTTAAGCTGGCCCACCTTGGAGGGTTGTTGTGACAATGCAAGTGTGGAATTTTGCCCGAGCATGCAAGAGACCCTTAATGGGCACAGGATGCTGTTTACTGACTGGAGCATTTATTTATTTTTTTTCCTTTGGTCCCTTTGAGTCAGTGCAACTGCCTAGAAAACTTCCTGCAGTTTTCTGGGTGAGGTTTTTCCAGAAGTGGTTTGCCATTGCCTTCTTTCTAGGGCTGGGAAGATGTGGCTGGCTTGGTGTCCCAGGCGGAACTAGAACTCGCCGTCTCCTGCTTTCTAGCCTGAGGCCTTCACCGCTAGACCAGACCAGGTTTTCTTGTAAGGCTTGTAAAAGAAATAAAAGTTAGTTTCCTTGGTTCTTGGTTGGGAGAACAGCTTCTCAGCAAAACGTGACTTTAGAGGCCCAGTTCAGCTCCGCCGGTTCTAATGGAGAGAATCCCTGTTCTCCTAACCTCATTGACAAAACTTATTAATTTTGAATTACAATTTTGAATACAACTTTAATTCTGTCCAGTTGGGTGGCATTATGAAATCCCTCCTGGTGAGTGTTGGCAAATATTAAGGGACGAGTAATCTCTGCCAGCTGCGTGGCCTATTTTATTTTTTATATATATAAAATTAAGCTGGCAAAGAATGCTGAACTCTTTAAGTGGATACAAAACAGCCATTTTTAGATGCCTGGCAGGGGTGTCTGCAGGGTAGGGTCAAAAAAGTCAAATGGCAACTGCAAGGGTGTCATTGAAGCT